TTCATTCTTTTTTCTTTTTTATTTCTTTTTTTTCCTTTTGTTTTTTCCTGCTTTCATAATATTTTCTAATATTTTCCGCGCTTGGTTTGTTTTGTTTGTTTGTCTTTTTTCCTTCTTTCTTTCTTTCTTTCTTTCGTTCTCGGTTTTTTTCATTCTTCTTTCTTTCTTTTTTCTTTCTTTCTTAATATTTTCTACTACTTTCACTCGCTTGGTTTGTTTGGTTTCTTTGTTTTTTTCCCTTTCTTTCTTTCTTTCTTTCTTTCTTTCTTTCTTTCTTTCTTTCTTTCTTTCTTTATTTCTTTCTCTTTCTTTCTTCTTTCTTTTTTTCTTTCTTTCTTTCTTTCTTTATTTCTCTGTTCTTTCTTTCTTTCTTTCTTTCTTTCGTTCTCGGTTTTTTCATTCTTCTTTCTTTCTTTTTTCTTTCTTTCTTAATATTTTCTACTACTTTCACTCGCTTGGTTTGTTTGTTTTTTTTTGTTTTTTTCCCTTTCTTTCTTTCTTTCTTTCTTTCTTTCTTTCTTTCTTTCTTTCTCTTTCTTTCTTCTTTCTTTTTTTCTTTCTTTCTTTCTTTCTTTCTTTCTTTCTTTCTTTCTTTCTTTCTCTGTTCTTTCTTTCTTTCTTTCTTTCTTTCTTTCTTTCTTTCTTTCTTTCTTTCGTTTGTTGGTTTATTCGTCCATGACATTTTTTGTTTGTTTTTTCTTTCGTTTTCGTAAAGAAAAGTTTCTTTTTCTTTCGTTTCCACATTCCTCCCCAACATTACCTTCATTCATTCCATTATGTTTCTTTCGTTTTTTCTGCAAATGTCTTTCTTTCTTTTTTTATTTCTTTTTTGTTTTCCTTTCGTTTGTGTTTTTCTTTTTGTCTTTCCTCTGTCGTTCATTTTCTCTTTCTTTTTATCTTTGTTTTATTTCTTTAATTACTTTCGTAATATTTTCTATTGCTTTCCCTCGCTCCTTTTGAGTTTTGTTTTTTTCTTTCCTTATGTCTTTCATTCTTTTTTTCTCTGTTTTTCATTTTCCTTTCTTTCTTTCTTTCTTTCTTTCTTTCTTTCTTTCTTTCTTTCTTTCTTTCTTTCGTTTGTTCGTTCGTTCGTTCGTTCGTCCAATCGCCCATGACATTTGTTTGTTTGTTTCTTTTTTCTTTCTTTTCGTTTTCCCACAGAAAAGTTTGTTTTATTTTCGTTTCTACATTCCTCCCCAACATTGACTTCTTTCATTCATTCCTCATTTTGCCCATCATGGTTCTTTCTTTTTTTCTTCTGCAAGTTTCTTTCTTTCTTTCTTTCTTTCTTTCTTTCTTTATTTATTTATTTATTTATTTTTTATTTTTCTTTCTTTCATTCTTCCTTTCTTTATTTTCTTCTTTGTCTTTTCTTTATTTCTTTATTCCTTTATTTTTTCTTTCTTTTTTCTTTCTTTCTTTGTTTTTTTTGTTTTTCTTTGTTTATTTTTTTCTTCCTTTCTTTCTCTGCTTTTTCTTTCTTCCTTTTTTCTTTTTTGTCTTTATTATTTCTTTCTTTCTTTGTTTTTCTTTGTTTATTTATTGTTTTTCTTTCTTTCTCTGCTTTTTCTTTCTTTCTTTTTTCTTTTTTTATTTGTTATTTCTTTCTTTCTTTCATAATATTTTCTACTGCTTTCACTCGCTTGGTTTGTTTTGTTTCTTTGTTTTTTTTCTTTCCTTCTTTCTTTCTTTCTTTCTATGTTTTTTCATATTTTGTTTTTTCTTTGTTATTTCATTTTTCTTTTTTTTTTCTTTATTTTTTTCTTTCTTTCTTTCATAATATTTTCTACTACTTTAGCTCTGTTTTGTTTCTTTGTTGTTTTCTTTCTTTCTCTGTTTTTTAATACTTTCTTTCTTTCTTTTTTCTTTGTTATTTCTTTCTTCTTTCTTTTTTCTTTCTTTCATAATATTTTCTACTACTTTCGCTCACTCGGTTTGTTTTGTTTCTTTGTTCCTTCTTTCTTTCTTTCTTTCTTTCTTTAAACCCTTGCATTTTGCTTTCATCTTTCTTTCTTTCTTTCTTTCTTTCTTTCTTTCTTTCTTTCAACCCTTGCATTTTGCTTTCATCTTTCTTTCTTTCTTTCTTTCTTTCTTTCTTTCTTTCAACCCTTGCATTTTGCTTTCATCTTTCTTTCTTTCTTTCTTTCTTTCTTTCAACCCTTGCATTTTTCTTTCATCTTTCTTTCTTTCTTTCTTTCTTTCTTTCTTTCTTTCTTTCTTTCTTTCTTTCAACCCTTGCATTTTGCTTTCATCTTTCTTTCTTTCTTTCTTTCTTTCTTTCTTTCTTTCTTTCTTTCTTTCGTCCATAATATTTTTTACATCGTGTTTTCTTTCTTTCTTTCGTTCTTTCTTGATTTTTTTTCGTATCCGTCTTTTTTCTTCGTTTGTTTTTCTTTCTTCATTTATTTCCTGCCTCTCTTTCATTCATTTCTTATTCCAGGAAACTTTCTTTCTTTTTGGTACAAGAGTCGTTCGTTACTTCTGTCAGTATTTGAATTAAATCGGCAGTTGGTAAACTTAATATTTCTTCGCATCTCGTAGTCCCGTTATCTTATTATCTTTGCCCTTGTAAAATATTGACTTTTAATTGCCCGCCTATTGTAACTCCATACTTTGCAACGGAATTACATTAATCGACACATCTCTTCATAATATCTGCGTGACAGCTCTTTATATATAGAAACATATTTCAGTAACAACGCTTGCAAGAGACGAGCGCATTATACAAACGAAAATAGACGAGTCCTCTGTGCTCTGCAAAGCATTTAAAATCAAATCAGTTGTTGTTGTTGATGTTAGACATTTTGTGTCATATCCTTTTTCGGAGTTGGAGATCAAGGTTCTCCACAATTTCTTGCCCTTTGTAGCTCTTAACAAATTTTGTCTTTGAGCTATTCCTGTTCTGCCATTAATTTACACAAGATCGTTATGCTGTAACGTGTCCTGTGAGTATCAGATTTTCCAAGCCATCTTTCCTCATTATGTGCCCTAGAAATTTCAACTGTCTCTTTCAGATATTACGTATAAGTTTCCCTTTTCTTTTCATGCTCTCTAAAATTATGCTTCTATGTTCAGTCTATGGTATTCTCAGCATCCTTCTGTTGCCTCAAATACATTTCTGTTACCCCAAATACTTACTTAATCTGCCATGACATTGTCTAGCATGTGCTGTCATATACGGCGGCAATAATAAATAATAGTACAGTACTCTTTGCTTCGATTCTAACGAAATTTTTCTGTCACTTAGTACTTTGTCTACATTTTGGAAGCTATATTTCGTTATTTCAAGTTACACTTAGATTTCGGTGTCGAATATATATATATATATATATATATATATATATATATATATATATATATATATATATATATATATATATTTACCCGGTGAGCGCATATTTCTCCTTACGAAAATTTATTGAATATTCAGTGGGTAGACAAAAATAAAAAAAAAAAATACATTGCTTAATAAATAAACAAGTCAGAATTTCTTCTCAATTATCTAGAAACAAAGTTTGAAGTGATATATATATATATATATATATATATATATATATATATATATATATATATATGAGAACTCTTATGTAGCGTGTTGGAATCATATATTTAAATAAATAATTATATATATATATATTAAAGTGGTCTGTTTTTTCATTAATTATATATATATATATATATATATATATATATGAGCAATGGGGATAAAAATATCATTCACGTCTTCAGTAATGCTACCAATATCCTCTGCATTCTTTCTTTCAAAATCCATTCAAGCACCATGAAGTGGACGGTGAATAAAGTTTAAAAAGAGAGGAAGACTTTATCAGAGGGTCACAGCAGGAAACGGGATCATTATTGGAACTTAAAGCTAGCGAGATTAATTAGAAAAGATCCATGGATCCAACTATAGATCCCAATCTAATTTTCAATTAGAAAAGATCCATAGAATCCAACTATAAGACGTTTTGCTCGTGAAAGAGAATTTTCAGCTATGACAGTTCAAGGAGCAGTGAATAAAGATTGAAAATGAAATCGTGCGTGAAACCTCAGAGGCATCTTGTTACTGTAGAACACAAGGTTAGAGAGGGTAAAGATCATCTTGAATAAGGTGGAAAACGATCTTGGAATATATATATATATATATATATATATATATATATATATATATATATTTGAAGTTTATTCCATTCCTTCATGAGCTTCCGATCCTTAACTGTGATTAGTTAATTATGAACATGTTATTTTCATTGATGATCAATTTCATCACGATTCTTCTGTTAAGCTTGGAGAGTAATTGTACATTTTTATTGCTGAAAATAGAGTCCAATCGTGTTATAAAAACATCGCAGAATTCCAGTAAGGTATCTTTAATCATTTCTAAGATACAACGTGTCAGATTTTTCTTTTACACGATTTGGACAATTTTGCAGTTACACCCGGTATGTTTAAAATGGATATTGTGGTCAACACCCAGTTAGAGAGTCTGTTTTTTTGTATTTTTTTTTTGTAATATTTTGCTAAAACTCAATCTTCGGGCTATGAAAATTGTCGCCTCTGGGTGTTGACCTACATGACAACTTTTATCTTGACGTAACTCAAAAATTAGTAATTGAAAATACTTCATGTACAACTTAAAACTATTACGAGTTGGTATACGAGGAAAAGAAATGAGATGAAAGAAGTATGAATTAAAATTAATATTAATCGAGAATGCTCTATTTTATTAATATATTCAAGAGGTTTTTAGTTCGCTATATCAGTAATTGACAACTCTTTATGTAATCAGTCCTTACAACTTAAAATCTTACGAGCTGGTATACAAGAAAGAGAAATGAGATGAAAAGTACTAATTAAAATTAATATTAATTGAGAATTCTTCATTTCATTAATACATTCAAGAGGTGTTTATTTCGCCATCGAAAATAGACTTGTAACAATCGATTTGTAACATCAGCTTTATTTAAGAACAAATCCTGATAAACAATACAATTCCATAGCAAAGAAGAAAAATAGGATAATTTCTATTATAAAAGGAAACTATAGATAAACTATTCGAAATCTTTCATGCACATCCGTTTGCATGTAATGAGTTCTAATACAAAACCAATCTTGACTTCATGCAAAACATATTTCCGGCTGTTTTGAAAACAGCTTTCTTATAAAGATTTAGAAACAGCCACCTTTTGTTCATTCTTGATACTTGTTGAAAATAGCGCGAGAATTTGTTCGTACTTTTCTTCGTTGCCCGCCATGTTGGTTTCCTCCTTGTCATTCTCAAACTGAATATAATTTTGTACTTTCTGTTGCTGTTTTGTTATTTTATTTTTTTTTTTTAATTTTCACTTTTGGTTAATCGTTCGCTTTTGTTCATACAGTTATTTTCTATTTGTTATTTTATTTTGTTTTCTTTCACTTTTTTCCCCATTTTTGTTGTTTTGCAGAAGTCTGTCGTCTGTTGTACATTATTAGCAACTGCCAATCTCTTCGTAGCAGGCACCAAATAACCAGATGTCTTGAAATTCACCGTAGACATTTATCTGCACACTAACTTGAATGGAACTTGTCATCGAACAATTTTTTTTTTGTTTTTATTTAAGTAAGTATCCCACGCGTATATCGTATTAGTGAGAAAAAATTGCCATGCTCTCCTGAGATTTCCTTATTGAAATGCCCAAGTCATGACAGTTGATCTGAATCCTTCCGGTCCTTGTGTATTTAAAGTTTTTCTGCCTGAGGGACGTTTTTATGATTATCCCAATCAAGGGCCTCGTGCCCATCCCCGTATCAGATACGACCTGTACACTCTAGTACATCTCAATTTTCATAAGGTGGTATTCACATGAAATATAGATTTTATTTTAACCTGCATGGTCTTGGGGTCTACGTCAAGGAACATCTCCCTCTGGCCAGAGAGTTCTCTCTCGAATCGCCAGACCAGTCATACATGTGTCTCCGACTCTCTCTCCTCAATGCGGTAAGCTATCTCTTCTTCCTTTACCGCTCTCCATCCTCTCATGACTGTCCGATACTTGATAGCATTTCTGACAGCATAGACAACGCAGGTGTTCCTCAAGGCTCCATCCTAGGCTCCACTCTATTCCTTATCTACATAAATGATCTTCCTCACGCCATAACTTCCCAAGTTGGCATCTACGCGGATGACACCACAATTTATTCCTGCCTCAAAAACAAATCTAGTCTCGCTGACAAAACTCACCTTGCCGTGCGTCTCGAAAAGGACCTCCAATCGATTGTGAACTGGGGTATGAATTGGCTGGTTAACTTCAACGCTTCGAAGACAAAACTGCTCTCTATTAATCACCACAGAGAGCCTTCCCTTCCCTCCATTAGAATGTCTGACGCTCAACTTCTCGAAAGCAACTCTCTGCGGCTTCTCGGTCTCACGTTGACTGCTGACCTGAGATGGAATAAATACATCGAGTCAATTGCCTCGCCACCGCAAGGAAAGTTGGCTCCCTGAGCCGCGCTAGGAAGTTTTTCTACCCGGAGTAGATCCTCCAGATCTACAAATCAACAATTGGAGTATTGCTGCCATATATGGTCTGGTGCCCCTTCTGTTTGCCTCGGGGTTCTTGATAGGCCCCAGAGGCGGATATGGAATGTAGTTGGCCCTGCCCTGGCGTCTCGTCTACAGTCACTTTCTCACAGACGCGTCGTCGCCTCCCTCTGTCTGTTCTACAAATACTTTCATGGAAATTGTTCCGAGGAGCTCCATTCGCTGGTTTCCAGACGTCATGAGTTCAAGCGCCCTACGAGGCTGGCATCCCGCTCTCACCCTTTCACTGACGAAACTCCTAAATGTAGCCGTCTCTTCTACTCTAATAGCTTCATGTCTCGCACCTCTCGCCTGTGGAACTCCCTTCCCTATTCCTGTTTCCCTGTGAGCTATAATCTCCAGCTATTCAAGTGTAATGTCAATCGACATCTCCAGTTGCCTTGATCTATCCACTACCCACCTCCTTTTTTCTATCACTCCTATCTGATCTTGCTCTAAATTTTCTGTAACCCCTTGCGTCCTAGTGGCTTCCCGCCTTGCTTGCTGTGAAATGCTTAATATATATATATATATATATATATATATATATACAATAATGGATCATATAAAATATAGGTTAAAAATCCAACTAGAAAAATTGAAAATGAATACAATGTAACTAACTATAAATTAGGAACGTGCCAATAGATCGTTACATGGTAAATAAACCAACAATGTTTTGCGTCAATTTGTAATATCAACTTGAAATTTTTCTTGTTAATAAGTTTAATAATGTTAATAAATTCAATATTATAGATATAAAAAAAAATAGTGAATTTTATATCGTTCTTTTTTTTCTCGAGACTTATCAATCATCAGGTAGGGATTGAGAGCAGAAGAAACAGATTGATTCGTATTCCTCGTGTTCTTTTCAGTGGGCATTCACATAGGTTGACAGCGCTCATCTCCTCTATTGACCGACAGCCGAAGACCACGGAATT